ACAAGAAAAACACACCCTAAGTTCACTTCCTAAATTGGTGAGATATGGTCTGTGCTCTTCTGACAATGTTTGTCTTAGTCCATTTGTGATATCCCAGCTTTAACATTTTGATACATTTTTTGCACACAGCCAGTCTGTAGATGATAACGAACTTCCAAATGCTTTATTATTACTATTATACTATCAAATGGGGTATTGCTGCTAATATCTGTGTTTTTTATCACAGCCATACCATTTAGATATAATACCATGAAGATAAATCAGTTCAAAAGGGTCACTTGAAGTTAAACGGCAAAATTTGTCTTTAAAATCTGAATACTTAAAAGTTGACGGAATATTCGGTTTTAGGAAGATTGGTTCTATTAAAGCAAATATATAAAATAGAAAAAACAAAGGATATGGGGTATCCATCCATGACACAAAATCAATACATGCACAGCAACAACAACAACAAAAAACACACAAAAAGCAAAGGAACAGCGCTTTCATTGCTGTTCCTCATCTCAAAATCACAGTCAGGTCTGTTTACTTTATCCCCCACTTCAGATAGAGTGTAGCTATATTGTGTAATAACATTGCTGGTTTCGTAATAGTCCTAGCACATCGATATGAAAATTATGTGTTTACATGCTACATTTCTCAATTTTTTAGTACTCTGAAGATTAGAAAAGGGACAATAATGATAATACACATTCTTACACAATTTTTCAAAGTTTTACAAATTATACCATGTACACGTGTATATAGTGTTTTGGGGATTTTCTTTTCTTTTCCTTAATGTTCAACCGACTTACAGATCTCAGTACTTATAATCAGTATGATGCAGCCCGCAACCTGCAACCCGCAACCCGCAGCCCGTAACCAGCAAAATATACATACTCCTAACAGGTGTCACGGTCAAAGTCCTTGTAATGTCTATTACACAAATAATATTAAGATTAGCCTTTTAACAGAGGTTAAACATGTATGCCTGCGCCCAACCTACCTCTGATATTGGACAGTGGTGTTAAAGCACAACGTACATGTAAGAACCAAATGTAAATCCAGTTGAAAAGAAGATGACTCATCGGATTGATTTCGACAAAGCAAAAAAAAACAACAAGAAAATAATACAAAGACGAAAGTAACGATCATCAGAGAGTCACACATGTATTTACTTTACTTCATAATATGCCAATGTCGACTTTTTTCAGAACGGACTTTTAACCGATTCACTCCATAAATATTTGTTTCCGCAGGACCTATGTACCCTTATACACTACTAGAGCCTGCTCAAGTAGGATATAGGTACAACTGGTTCAGGTATAATAAAGATTAGTCGGGATCTAAAACTTTGTGAGTTGGTTTATCGGGACAATAATGAAAGATATCGATGATACTTTTCTTAAACACAAAAAAAAAACAAACAAACAGAGAGTAAATAATTGACATGTCTGCTGAAAAATTGATTCATAAAAAAGATTACCGAAATTAGTACATGCAAACACGCAAGTGATTTAGAAGTTATGCTCTTTCCAGGGGTTAAAAATCACGACGCACGGAAAGAAAGTTGTAACCCTAAAAGTACTATATTGGCCTGGCTTTTCCTCTAGTCTACTTTTTTACCCTATTACAATTTATATGCTGATCAATATTCTGAATGGATTAAACTATAGAGCAAAAAACCCAAGTTTCAATGCAATAATCTATAAAACGGTTAGCTTTCTAGAAAAGCTATTACTTGTAGAACGTATAAACGTTCGATACAAAAGAAAAATATATCATACAAAGAAACAAACTTTTTTTAACGTCAAAGCAGATAACCAAATAAACAATATGAATTATGTGTAAAAAATTATAATATATCAATACTGTATGTTGTCACAATTCAGAATAAATATATTTCTGGTTCTTTAAAAAGATAGTGTGATTAAAGCATCGTTAACCAAGCGCAGTTTAACGTTGTGGTTTCAAAAATATGCTTACATATACTGCCAACATTCGACATGTTTCAAGTTTAATATTCTGGTAAAATTATCAAACTAGAACATGTTGACGAATATATTCGTTATAAAAATGAAAACGAAGCGCTTTTCTGGGTTTTAAATTTCATGCGTCCGAAGCGCTTAACTGTGTTTACCTTTATCAGGAACGCTCAAAGTCGAATAGTTGATAGCCGAGGGTGTGTAAGACCCGAAACAGTTATATCACAATGTGTGTTTTACCTTTGTATTCGTATTTGAAAAAAATAACACAACCTGTCTATGTATACTAATTAAGTAATGTTTTAGTAAAAAATTCCACGCTAATTATAGGGGGAGACTTTAATCTCCCTGGTTGGGATTGGAACAACAGATCACTAATACCAAACACTAATTACCCACAGCTTCATTACTTCTTTGGCAACTCACTTGACAACACATGTCTCACCCAAATTGTTGATGTCCATACACGTAAAGACAATATTCTTGATCTGATAATTACAAACTTACCAAACCAAGTACAGCGTGTTGAAGTTATTCCCGACCTATCTGATCATGATATTGTGTTTGCCGAATTTGCAATAGCTTCATCAAAACTTAAACAAAAGCCTAGAATAATTCCATTATATAAAAAAGCAAATTGGAGCACAATTAAACAAGAAATAAACACTTCATATAAACATCTCTTTGAAAACCAGCAACATCTTTGTGTAAATGAAATGTGGAACTGTTTTAAAGCAACAATAATAAAAGCAGTGAAAGATCACATCCCACATAAAACAGCAAAAAACAAAGGACGGTCACCCATGGATCACAATGGAAACAAAACGGCTCATTAGAAAAAGAGATAGACTTTATAAAAAATCAAAAAAATCCGGGAATGCATCTCTTACTAAAAAATACAAAGAGGTTAAACACCAGGTACAAAAATGTATACGAAAATCATACTGGGAATACATTGAAAGCATCATATTACCACCACAAGATGGAACAAATTTTGGCACTATGAAAAAATTTTGGACCTATATTAAACATAAAAAAACTGATTATAGTGGTATTACTGAAATTAAACAAGATGGCAAACTCTTAACTGATCGACTACAAAAAGCTAGAGCACTTAACGCAAAATTCCAGTCTATATTCACACCAGCATCAAATATCTCCCATAAAGAATTTGTCAAACAGTGTAACATGCCACAGAATACTCTTTTTCCACCCATAACAAAATTAATCATAAAAACACAAGGTATACAAAAACTTTTACATAACTTAAATCCTAACAAAGCAGCAGGACCAGACGAAATTTAACCAAGATTTTTAAAAGAACTTTCACATGAAATTGCACCAATACTTACCATTATCTTTGAGAAGTCAGTTAAAACAGGTGTTGTTCCAGATGACTGGAAAACTGCCCATGTCTCTCCTGTATACAAAAAAGGCCAAAAATATAGCCCTATATCTCTCACATGTATTTGTTGCAAACTTTTAGAACACATAGTAGTTAAACACATCATGACACATGCAGATAATCACAACATTTTATATCCCCTACAGCATGGATTTCGCAGAGGTCGATCCTGCGAAACACAACTACTTGAATTTATAGATGATGTCTCACTTAACATGGAAAACGGTAAACAAACAGATATTTTGGTCATGGATTTTTCTAAAGCATTCGATAAAGTTTTACATTCTCTTCTAACTAATAAGCTTCACCATTACGGGATACAGGGGGAATTAAATTACTGGATACAAAATTTTCTAAGCAATCGTAAACAGGCAGTAGTTCTAGAGGGGGAAAAATCTGAGTATGTTGCAGTTGAGTCAGGGGTTCCACAGGGGTCAGTTCTTGGACCAAGTCTCTTCCTGTATTATATTAACGACATTCCAACTGGTCTTACATTTACAGTACGTTTATTTGCAGACGACACAATAGTGTATTTGGCAATAAAATCAAATTCCGAAGCATCCACATTACAAAAAGATCTTGACAAACTGGCATCGTGGGAAACTATGTGGAAAATGGCATTCCACCCAGATAAGTGTGATGTAACACAATCACTCATTAGAACATGTAACAACAGCAAAATATCTGGGGGTTACCATCAGTTCCAACCTTAAATGGGATGTGCACATAAATAACATATGCAAGAAAGCTAATAGCACCCTAGGCTTTCTTAGGAGGAACCTGAACATAAGCTCAACATCAATTAAAGAGCAAGCATATAAGTCCCTAGTAAGACCATCACTAGAGTATGCTTGCTCTGTTTGGGATCCATACTTACAACAAGACATAGATAGCATTGAAAAAGTTCAAAGGAGGGCTGCGCGTCTTGTTACCAACAAATACAGAAACACCTCAAGCGTTGGTAACATGTTACAACATCTTGAATGGCGCAGCCTCTCTGACAGAAGAAAAGACTCAAGATTGGTAATGCTTTATAAAATTGAACACGAAAAGGTTGCAATACCTAAAAATAATAAATTAATCCCACAAAAAAGACAAACAAGACATTCAAATTCGAACAGCTTCCAAATTCCATCCTGCAAAACACAGTACAGAAAAGAATCCTACTTTCCAAGAACTATTACCGACTGGAACAAACTACAGGACAACATTGTAAATTGCACTTCAGTAGACTCTTTCAAATCTTCAATTTCAAAGCATCAATATTAACTCAACTATTACATCATACTTAATTATACAAAGCATTTTTTTTTTTTTTTTTTTTTTTTTAATTTTTTCGTATTTTTTAAAGATTGTATATATATCAATCTATGTCTTGTTGTAAGTTTCCTCCTGTGACATAATCTTCAATTTGTTGAAGGCGGTCACTATATGGTAGAAGTAGAAGTAGAAGTAGAAGTAGTAATTATTTGTGAACTAAATATCCCAAGGTAATTTTTACTGAAATAAGTCTGGACTTTATCATATTTATCGTAGATCTATTCACAGATAAGAGTCTGGGCCATTAAGTCCTAAGATATTATTATATCATCCTAATTTCTTGAACTTCTGTCCTGAATATTTGACGATAATCAAACATGGAGGATGTAGAAATTGTTGTTCCAAATGATAAAGTTCACAACTTTATAGTAAGCTCATTGGAAGTTGTTGGATTAACTGAAGCACGTGGATCGTTGGTTGCAGATATACTAGTATCCGCAGATTACAGAGGAATATATAGTCATGGAGTCATATTACTTGGTAAATAGTATCTTATTTCATTAATGAGTTGTTAAAAAGTTTAAGGAGTCAGCAACTAAAACAACGACAGAGAAAATTTGAAGTCACGATTTTTTTTTATTTTGCAATGTATTAACTGACCAGAATTTTTTTTGTAGAAAAAGTAATATTCTTTTATATAATAGTGGCGGTCAGCATTTCTTTCTTTATCTCTGGTCCAATATAATCATTCTTATTTAGGCATATTGTCACCATTTAGAAATTTAAAAAAAAAGACTTTTATTACTTTTTCTTGCTTGTAATGTTTATGTACATGTTTTGCGTCATTTATCACTGTGTAGTATTAGGTAACAATCAATTTGTTTTGTATTTAAACATATAAAAGTTCTTCTTCGTTTAATGCAGAGGATGAATCTATATAATCGTATCCATCTTTAAATGAGAGCTAATTTTAAACAAACAAACACTTATTCGTTAGGGGCTAAATCTTCATGTTTGTATTGTCTTCCGACCTGTTTCTTGTTTAGATGCAAGATATAATAAAGAGCAGCAATGTTTTAAAATCTCGAAATCAATTCTTTTTTGCATTTAAGTTGAAAATTTTGATCTTATCAAACCATTGTAACGAATATGTCCATTCTGGTATCATTTGCATTAAGCATTTGTTGAATCAGTATGCACTGAATTACTGGTGAGTATGGGGTTTTTTTTTGCCTTTTTTTTAGGGGGAAGGGGGTAGTGAGTGACATTTTTTGTTCACCAACTTGGATTGTTGGACTATAGGGTTCGAAAGTTAGGGTTGATTAAAATGACGGTTTATGAATTGTTGGAATAGGTGTTGCTGAGGGGAACGTGTAAGACATACCAATTTCGATTGTAACTTCTTTTAGATAAATATATGGACGAAATCAGATCAGGGGCCGTATCAGTAGAAGACAAAGAACCAACAATTATAAAAGAATCAATAGGAACGGCACTGGTAGACGGAAATAGCTTAATTGGTAAGTTGTTAGAAATTGTGTTGACTGTGAAGAATCAATTATTATAATTGCAAGAAAATTATATTTTCACGTCATGTGTAACATTCCATACTTCGTCTTAGCGTTACAAATTTTTCGTAGAATGTATACTTAGTCTGCATGTCATTTATTTTAGTGGCAATCCTTTTATTAAATTGATGGTTTAATTTACTAAGTGTCCAGTGACAAATATTGCATTAATATTCAGGCCGAGAACACACATGTATATAACCCAAAAGTTTAGTTCTGTAAAAAAGGTCGACTGGGATGGAGAGGTCGGAAGTTTGACTGATATTGAAAAAACGATTGGATAAGTGCAGAAAGTTTTCCTTGCACCAGAACACCTATGGAACCATCCTGTAAAACAGTGTAGCAAGGTTCTTTAAGTTGCAGAGAGCATGTCACTTTCCTCGCACGAGTCATTTGATGGAACATCTCTATTCCGACCAGAAGTTTCTGCGTATTTCCTGCCAAGTCAAATGGACGACTATTAAAACTGAGGGAAAGATCTCCTAATTTATCAGGAGACACTAGATGTACTGTAAATACTTGTACACGGGACACCCTTTTGGGAGCCAAACAATTAAGTTAAATCACAAATTCTGCACGTACACGTTACACCAATTCTATACTCACTGCTTTTTGCAATATTCAGTCATTCCAATATCCACTGTATACCAAATAATATCAACCAGATAAGAGTAAGAAATTAAATAAGACAAAAGTGCTAGTACAAGGCAAGTGACGCATATGGGTAGGTACAATTAATCAACGTTAACCACTATATCGGCCATATAGTCGTTAGCATAAATCATACATACATAAGTTGCAGTGGTTGATGTATTTTTGTTGGGTTATGAAAATAAGTAGATCCAAAGTGGTCAGTCTTAAATCATAACCAAGTAATAAGAAACCATATAAAGAAAACAATAGTTTACAAAACAAGCCAAAACCTAAAATCATTTTACATGTCCTAACTAAACACTGTTGGTGATCATATATACTACGAAAATTCAAAGTGCGTTTCGTTTCTGCTGCACTAGTGTCATCTGTAGTCTTATTCATATTAAATTCGTTGTCATTATCCATGTTGTTAATGACATGACGTTAAGTACGGGGGTAAGGATGGAAATAAACTCATCATACAGACTATGATTACAATTTTGTCAGCCAGACGCGCGTTTCGTCTACAAAAGACTCATCAGTGACGCTCGAGTAGCAACAGTTAAGAGGTCAAATAAAGTACGAAGTTGAAGAGCATTATATTTATTACGCAATTATACCCTCTTTATATTGCCTAGCTAGTTAACAGGTTAGAATGGAATTAACGGAGAGAGCATTATAGCCTTAAATAAATGAATAGAGGATACAATATTTTTTAAATAATAATTTGAAACTAATGAAGTCTAGAAATAAATGATAATATATAATTAATACAATATAAGGCTAAAATTTTCAAACTGAATTGTACGGTTTGTTCTTAGGTGACTAGGTGATTACAGACATGTTAACGCCGCATTTTAATCTTTATGTGACTGTCCAAAGCCAGGAATTTGTATCCAGTAGTTATCGTTGGTTATTGATTGATTTTGATTTTTGATTTTTTGTGTTTTAACGCCATTTTTAAGCACCGCTTTTGGGCTATTTCGTGGCGGCCAGTTTTTATTGGTGGAGGAAGCCGGAGTGCCCGGAGAAAACCACCGACCTTCGATAGGAAAACTGACAATCCTAGTCAATTAAGATTAGAGTCGAATGCACCCGCACGAGCGGGGTTCGAACTCACAACCTCAGTGTTGACTGGCTAGTGATTACAGTAGTAACTACTTAGACCACTCGGCCACCGAGGCGCCTACGTTGGTTATTGTCATATTTGTTTATCGCTAATTGTTGATGTATTATTCACACATTTGGTCTTCTCTTTTGAATAGTTTCACTTTGCAGCTTAGTATATACTTAGTAGTTGTTCCGAGGATTGAACAATGACCAGTAATTGGTTTCATCTTTATTGTATGGTCTTTATGTACATGTATAGTTGTCGTATTTCCAAACACTTCATCCTCTTACTTTATATGTATATAAGAGAAATAGAGAATATGAAAGTGTCACTACATAGAAAAAAAAGTAACAACAAGGAAATGCAATTTAATGTTAACACGAACACAATCGCTCCTTTATGAAAATAAGGAAACGTGATTGCAGATGATACAACGATCCACCGAAGTTCAAATGACATGGAGGTCACCGTACGGTCTTTAACAATGACTAAAACGCATACGGTATAGTCAGATATAAAAGGTCCAGGAGTGACAAAATGTGAAACAAACCAAACGAGAAAATCCACGGCCTGATTCATCACAAAACAATTAACGAAAAACAAATGTGTCAGATAGCAACCAAGGACAACCACTGAATTATAGACTCCTAGTTGATCCATTTATTCAAACGAATGTGATCTGCTTTTTTAAGTCTTAATTCTACCGAAATTGTTCGTAAATGTTTTTTGAAAGTGAAAAAGACTACGAGCTGCTAATCAGAGTAGAATCCTAATTTGAAATCTGTTTAAAATCATAGAATTAATCGATCGAAGCCTAGTACACTAAAACCCCATTCACACTAGCATTTTTCTTTAATAGATCTAATTTGAATCAATCTAAATAAAATCAGTTAGCGTTAACATTATCTTCAATCATAACGATCTCTATCGGTCTAATCTGAACCAGTGCGTTCACACTTCAAACTGTAAACATTGTGTATGAATAGAACTATTTTATCAAATTGATGTGTTGATACACAATTGAAAAAACAAAAATTGGACGAAGTCATTGTTTCTCTTGAATCACAAGTTCAAATTTTGATTTTGAAACAAAAAACTGTAGCAACGAAGTTACAACACGACGAAATACTTCGGTTCCTGAAAAGTAAAAAATCAACTAAAAAAAGAAGACACAGATTTCGCAAATTTATGCTACGGCGAAAACAACATGTTTGTTTTTACGTGCATGCACACAAAGGTCTGTTAAGGTAGATGGGGTGGGGTGTCTAAATTATAATCCATAGAATTTTTTAAAAATTTGCCAAAATGTAGTTTATATCATGCTTTTTAACATGCGCATACATTATTTTCGATTCAATCGTACTAGTTTAAACGATCTCTGCGTTCACATTTAAAGTAAGATCGGTTTACTTTAGATCGATTCAAACTAAACTACCTCTTTTGGTGTTTTAGTTTAGACCGATTGAAGATCGATTCAATGCGTTCACATTGGCCCTTAAATCGATCTAAAGTGAACCGATCTAGTTTAAATCGATCTAAATGTCCTAGTGTGAACGGGGTCTATTTTCAACTATAAAACCTGTACCATAAAAGTTCAATGATTTTCTGCAGGTATCATTTACATTAAATCTTAAATATTTTTAGGTGCGTATGTTGCCCTGTACTGTATAGATATTGCTATCAAAAAAGCAAAAGAAGCTGGAATTGGATTTGTCTCGTGCAGAGGTAAGATTATTGTATCAAATAATCATGGCATTTTATGAAAAGTAAATTTATAAAAAAAAAAAAAAACATCGCTTCAATGATGTTTCATATCAGCACATATGAGTGCTGACTTCTAGACCACTGATACACACGAGGAGGAAACGTCTACCAGCAGCGGGCTTCAAAGTCACATACATAAAAATACACGCTTATAATTTTCTACGCCAATTGCACTTTTTGTCGATAAAGATGATCAAGGTTTTCAATATATTTGTTGCATACTTTGTGTTGTTAACTTTTTTATTGTTGATTTGCGTTTATTTTTATGTTGATATATGCCTCTTTTTGCGAATGTCATTAAAGACCTGGAAGATTCATTAATAGTTACATTTAAAAGTTTTGTAAGGTTGCTGACTCATTTACTTATACGTTGCCTTTTTTTTTTTTCTTTTATTGATGTGAAAAATTTATGCCAACTGAATATGAGAAAATTAATTAAAAGTAATCTTTTAATTATTTTAGGCGCAAATCACTTTGGAATGGCAGGGTGGTACAGTATGTATGCGATGGAACAAGGATTTGTGGTAAATTGTATTTTCAATATTTTATTAGTATCCTTGTGTTGGTAAAAGAAACGTTTCTAATTCAGTTTCGACAAAAGCAATGCATGTATCTTTCCTTTAATATTAATACAAAACAAGAACTGTAAATTGTATTTACTCGTTAATTTGCTTGCTTTCAGTATTAAAATAAATCAATAGAATTAATAGGAGACGTGTGTTTAACTTTTATAGTTGAAAAATACAGATATTTTTTACTGAGAGTTCCCGGTATTTTCAAGGTCTGTTGCTCTATCAATTCAGTTGTTACTTTTTACCTGCAGTTGCAGACTATACTGTCATTTTTGACAGTTTTCCCTATGATCATCAATTCATGTCAAAGCTTAATTATTTTATTTTCGTACTAAATTACAGGGACTCTCTTTATGTAATACAAATCCTCGAATGGTTCCCACTAGAGGGACAAAGGTAAGTACAAATAAACAAGACAATACACGACTGGTTCCGATAAGAGGAATAATGGTAAGTATAAACAGACAAGACAATACTGGCTCAAGTAGAGATGTATGGTACTATAGTTCCGGCTTTTATAATACATTCATACACTTGTGTAGACTTGGGCAATACAGATATTTATAATATATTAGGAATTCATTATAAATTGACGGGTCGACAGTTGACGTAAATTAAAGTTGACAAAATCAAATTACTTCATTCCATTTAAACAGCAGAATAATGCTTAAGTGGTAAAAATTAACAGGAAGATAGTTCGACAGGTAAACAGTTGACAACTAGACAGTAGACATATACTGGTCAAGTAGGATATTGCCCAAGAATTCACAAGAGTAAGAATTTATTATAAGAGCATGAACTATATATATCCTCCTTCAGCCACAATACTCGAATGGTTCCACCGAATATAGAAACAGTCAGAACAATCCTATAATAGTTTCGAATAGAGGAACAATGGTAAGCACAAACAGTCTAGACAATCCTTGAATAGTTCCGAATAGAGCAACAGTTGTAAGTAGGGAAAGTGAAGACAATCCTCAAATGGTTCTGAATAGAGGAACACTGGTAAGTACAAACAGTCTAGACAATCCTCGAATAGTTCCGAATAGATCAACAATTGTAGGTACGGATTTTGTATTTACATTGTATCATAGATCAAATTTATTTGTTCAGTGTATGTTCACTGGTGTTAATATGTCTTTTGATTGATATAAGCCATTTCAATTGATATCTTATAGTGTGTCTTTCTATGTTGTGATGTTACACTATTGTTTCAGATAAGGGTGAAGGTTTGGTACCATTAAAACGTGTAAACCCGCTGCAATTGTTTGCACCTGTCCTAAGTCAGGAATCTGATGTTCAGTAGTTGTCGTATGTTGATGTGGTTCATAAGTGTTTCTCGTTTCTCGTTTTTTATATAGATTAGACCGTTGGTTTTCCCGTTTGAATGGTTTTACACTAGTAATTTTTTGGGCCCTTTATAGCTTGCTGTTCGGTGTGAGCCAAAGCTCCGTGTTGAAGACTGTACTTTGACCTATAATGGTTTACTTTTATAAATTTTGACTTGGATGGAGAGTTGTCTCATTGGCACTCATACAACATCTTCTTATATCTATAGTTTAGACAATCCTAGAATGGTTCCGAATAGAGGAACAATGGTAAATACACACAGTCTAGACAATCCTCGAATAGTACCAAAAAAGAGCAACAGTGGTGAGTACACATAGCATAGACAATCATTTAATGGTTACGAACAGAGCAACAAAGATAAGTACAGATAGTCTAGACAATCTTCAAATGATTCTGACTTCAGGCGCAATAGAATAAAATAACAACAGTCTAGACAATCTTCTAAGACTAAAGGAACTATAGTAAGTACAACAGTCTAGCCAATCCGCAAATGGTTCCGACTAGACGAACTGTAGTAAGTACAGATTTTATTAGAATCATAGCAACTCCATATACATGTATATGGTACATGTAAAAAAAAACTCGACCTAAAAAGTGTTCTTGTAATGCAATCATTGCCAATAAAAGGGAAAGAGAGATATGATTTATTGAGACAACATTCGTAAATCTAAAAACAATTGAACAAAAAATTGACACCAATAATTCATTAATATTGAGGTTGATGAGTAGAATGCTTGAATATTATCATGGCCAGAGTTATCACTTGTACAAAATTGAGAAAAAATCATACTCATCTACAGAATGTACTTATTTCTTCATTGTCGGATTAACTTCTTTGGTTTTGTTTTTTTTTGTTTTTTTGTTTTTTTTTTTTTTCAAATCAGGAAGATTATAATTGAGTTTTATTTATAAGTTTTTCACTGAAGCCTACTTTAGGTACGAATCCAGTCAGTATTGCAGCTCCTGGAAATCATGGTGACAACTTTGTCCTAGATATGGCTACTACAGTGGTTGCTGCTGGAAAGGTTAGTTTGTTTGTCTTCTATGTGATAACAAACGCATATCCTTTGTTAGCGTTTTGTCAGTCTTGGATATAGGCAACAGTAGTTTCTATAACAATAGCATATAAATCAGTAGGGAATTTATGGAAATATGTATTCACTTTGTAAGATATGGCAACGCTGTCCATGGAGGACTCAGTGTCCTTAGCGTCAACACGCAGTTTAGTCTTTTTAATCTCTTTCAATTTCAAGTGGTAACTTATAACGCAATCCTATTATTTGATGGATTACGCGAACGATTTGCTTATGAATTACAGGAAGGCGGGATTCTTCTCAGTAAGAATTATCACACAACATTGAAAACGAAACAAAATTAACAATTTGTTTTCAATTCAGTTAAAGATCATGGCTTCAAAGGATAGTAATCTTCCAGCAAATATGATTGTCGATGTAAATGGTCATGTGAGTATCCATTCCAATAATAATATTATCATCATACATTATTATTTTAAAAATCTTCAAAGATCTGATAGTTTGATAGTTGTTTACATCATCCATTTTAAAACGCACTATGTACTAAGCAGTTGCCCATATCTTACTGCAATGCTGCTCCACTATTTCATTGCATTCCTGTCTTTTCATTCAATCAAGTAACCTAAATTGAAGGGTTGACCTAAATGGAGCTTTAGCTATGCTTCGTGAGGTGGAAAATCCGTGAATGAAGCGTGAATGTTGGCGATCATAAAGAAAAGAATGGTGTACGGTTTACCTGCTTGGCAATGGATCTATAACGATTTAGATACAGAACATTGCAGCTCCACGTCTAGGGTAGAACTTTCCAAACCTGTTTTCTATATGGACTACACTCTGGTATCCCATGGCACCGACAAGACCTCAAACGTTAGACGTCAAAGCAATCTCTAACAACTAATATTTACAAAGCCATATGGAAATTACATTAAAGAGCACCGAGTTCAAACAGAACAAAAATTGATAAAAGTCTACTTTAAAGGCTTTTTAACACTAATACATTGATGTTTTAAAAAATGTTGTCAAAAAAGATATGAAACAAAAGGATCATTTAATCTTGTATATGTCGTTGTACTCTATGGTGACTTGACTGTAAAATATGGCATTGGATCAGTTGGTCGTCATCAACATGATCAATACCATTATCTTATCTTATTATTTGATATTCTTGTCATAACCATAGGAGAGCCGTAAATACGAAGATTTTAATGGAGTGTTTCCGGTCGGAGGTAGAGAAGAAACTGGTATGGAATGCAAGCTAGAAAGTCGAGTTCGAATAATTAATATTTGTTTAAATATATATATATATTCGTTCAGTAAATCTGAAATAAACAAGTTCTCAATTACTTCAGTAATTTGATAAATTCCGTAGTCAACATCAGTGATTTTGTAAACTCCATAATCAATCAGTGATTATACAAAACTCCTGAAATTTAAGGGTTAATCCCAAACCCATAACAAAAAGTTTTATTTCAATTGACTGTAACATATATAAAGCTTAACAAAAAAAAGTCATACAATCCCTTCGCCCTAATCCCTCTAAAACTCACAACTGCAATACTTTGGAAAAATGGAAGGAAAACATGCATCAAAGAGTACATGCTTATATTTCAGAACACTTGATGCTCCAAAACACGCAAAACACATGTATTTTTTAAAGTCTGTCACTTAATATATACCTCATTTGTATCTAAAAAAAGTCTATTTCAAATGATATCGAGTGGAATGATTGCCAATGAGAATACAGGTGTCCGTCACCCCACTCAACAATAAAGAGCAATCCATCGTGCGACCTGTAATTACGTAAAAGGACCTTTTTATAAGATATGCCATAATACGAGGCAACAGTAGTTTATCTATGTTCAAACCTCATAAATCCGTTTTCAAAATACACATGAAATTAGAAAAATTAAAGGAATCAAAAACTCCAAAAGGGACCGGACCAGTTTCGTCGACACGGTATGTCGTTGGTAATTAAGAAAGAACAAATCATCAGAGAGACACCATACAGCCTTATTCAAATGAGCACTAAACGAAAACATCGTCAACCAGTGAATTTTATTTTAGATATATGTGCATTAAGTATGCCTCAAAGTAATATAAAAGAAAGAAGATGTCGTATGATTGCCATTGAGGCAACTATTCAACAGAGTCAAAATAATGTGGATTTAAGCAATTGCATGTCATCGTATGGCATTCAACACTGAGCAAAACCCATACCGTATACTTAGCTATGAAAGTTCCGACATGTGAAAAAACGAAAACCACGAATAAAAAAAAACATCGGCCTTATTTATGACAAAACATAAATTAACAAAGTTCATCGACCAATCCTCTGATTTGTATGACAACCATTCACGGTTCCAATTCATTCGAAATAGATCAAGTTAAAAGACTGATTATTTCGAAACGTTTACTACTTCCTTGAAGAAAGTTATGTAGAAATAAAAATTTAACAAACAAATCTGTTCGTGTCTGCAAACGCCAGGGAAGTCAAATTATTCGGAAATGAAACAACAAAATACCTTAATGTTTTAGATTATTTTCAAAATATCTAACAAATAATTATTGATTTATTTTTACTGTTTCCTAAGGTGGTTATAAGGGGTTTGGTTTAGCCATGATGGTTGATATCCTTAGCGGTGTTTTAAGTGGTGCAGAATTTGGAGCAACTTGCAAAGGAGCGGGAAATCTGGTATAATATTTAAAAAACTTTGATTTGAACATGTTTATTTATAAGTCAATAATATTCTTCACCTCTTGTGTGTTTACCAAAGGTTATTAAATTATATTGAATTATAGAGAACAAAACTAAATCACATTGTTAATACTGATTTTTCCCGCAATATATTTTTTCTGCTATTTATATATCATATGAATGATTTGTGTTTAACCAAACCTCTTCTTTATTTCACTTTTATTTGAATTAATAAATTGTATTTGCAATATACTATTATATACTTTTTTTATGTAAAGACTTAAAATATATGCTTTTTGTATTCAAGGAAAATCCCAAGTTACGAAATTTGATAACTTCTGTAAAAGTATATGCATCATGTTGACTATGACATTTGTCTCAAGTTGCGTCACATTTTGTTTTTACCGTTAAAATAATTTAAAAGTTGTAAAAAATATAACCGTAATACAATTATTAGGGATAAAAGCATGGATTCTCTATAATTATATTTTTTCAATTTATTATTTTCACCAGGGTTTAGGTTTTATAGCAATTGATCCTAATCAATTTGAAGATGGTTTTACAAACAGAATGCAAAGTTTGATAGATGCTTGCAGAAATCAGCCACCGGTATGTTATTAGGCTTCATTCCATCACAATAATGTAGAGATATATATGTATCTGTTTGGAGCATTCATATGTGTTAAAATGCCAAACTTTCTCTCCGTTTTTTAATAGAAACTATATAACCGAAAAAAATTTATACATTGCTGTGATTAGCATGATAAAGTTTAAATTCTTCTCTTTTTTTTTTAAATATTTAAAGATTAAAAACATATAGATATTGATATAAATAGCTTGTTTTGAAACTCAGCATTACTAGTTATGCATGTATGACTTTTGCATGAAATTACAAAGACCTTTAAACAGTTTCATATAAATCTATGTTGGTAAGGTGCGACAGTTCCTGGCCAGGAGAAATCGCCGTTTGTATTTATATTTATGCTGAACTATTACATGTGTCTGTGAAAAAGCGAATCCTTAACATTGAAATTTCAATAAAATATCATTGACTTCAAAGGCTGACGTCGGTCGTCCAGTTTTGGTTCCAGGGGACCCAGAAAGACAACACATGGAATTGTGTGATCAACTTGGTGGTATACCATATACAAAAAAACTTTTACAGATTGTTGTAAGTAAATAAAAGCAACAACATAAATTGCTTCTGACGAAACAAAGCCAAAGTTACCTTCCAAAAAACGTTACCACAAAATGAACATTTATATGTAACATATGGTGAACAGTTTAGAGATTTCTAAAATTAGAACAAAAAGATATGCGGGTAAGCATCACTCAATGTTGTTGCTATCTGTCCGCCACTACTGTGCATTATGCACGTTCCTCAAATATTTTGACGTTATGAGGGAAAATATATGATGCCACTAATCAAAAGCAATTTTTCATGACGCCATTAGTTCGAGGGTCACAAAATAATTGAAGAAGTGTCACCGACAAACCCGATAAGGTCTATAATTTATTACGGATAGCGTTTGACGTCTTTAGCCGAACAGTTTTATCATATTCACATTATTAAATTTATTGTGTGCTGATTCATAATCTGGACGCCAGTCTTTGCTCCTTTCTAATAAAAACCACATAGCCGCATTTTTGCGCCTGTCCCAAGTCAGGAGCATCTGGCCTTTGTTAGTCTTGTATCATTTTTAATTTTAGTTTCTTGTGTATAATTTGGAGTTTAGAATGACGTTCATTATCACTGAACTATACATATTTGTTTGGGGCCAGCTGAAGGACACCTACGGGTGCGAGAGTTTCTCGCTGCATTGAAGACCCATTGGTGGCCTTCGGCTGTTGTCTGCTCTATGGTCGGGTTGTTGTCTCTTTGACACATTTCCCATTTCCATTCTCAATTTTAAGTTCAGAAAAAAGTCAATCATAAGGAGATGCAGGCAAACGCTGATAACATTCCAGACTGTCAATAAACCCATATCACTATGTCGGGGCCTTTTATAGCCGACTATACGGTATGTGTTTTTCTCATTGTTGAAGGTCGTACGGTTGCCTATAATTGCTTAAATCCACTTCATTTGAACTTTGGTGAATAGTTGTCTCATTGGCAATCATACCACATCTCCTTATTTTTAAATTATACTAGTTTTGATTGTACTCAATCCTCTCACGTTTGGCCCAGTCATATTATAACCGAAACAGATCGCGACAATATCAACGGTAACGGTTATGAAATGCAATTGGGAAAAACATCTTACTATTGAAATTGTATTCCACAAATAGTAAAAAGCAAAACGATCCCGAACATAAACGCTTGTTTTGAAATTTTACTCACTAGAATACATTTATAAATTGTTATGTTTGAAGCAGCAACAGATGTCATTTCTTCTAACTGTGTTGTGTTTTGTCTTTTTAGGATAGTATTGCAGAAAGATATCAAATCACACCACTGCTTTAGAATATAGGAGATATATCATTAATACAAAAAGAGCTGCGAAATGATAATAATAAAAATTATTTTGCACACCTGATGTTGATTATTTTATAAAGGTGACTATAATTTATTATTTGAAATTAACAAAACAGGCAGATTCAGTTAAGAGAGGCGTTCTCCATAACTGCGAAATTATGTTGTGGAAGCAAATCATGTTACAGCTGTATGGACAGGAATGGATTACAGTGGTACTGGAATGAAAACAAAGGAGCACCGCATGTTTTCTCTCGTGACGTTGATTCCATTTTAAATTATTAAGAAACTAAAGTTCAAAATGTCTCCTCATGTGAATTTTGCTATTCTATTTATTTACTTTTGCTCTTAATCTCCTCGTGTTTTCAAGATTTATTCATCCTTAGCATTAAAATTCTTTAGTTCATCAATGAGAATAAATTTAAAAAAAGTTCCTGAAGTATTTGAAGTCAAGTGACATTCATTTTTTTTTATTATTTGAGCGCATTTGATGAAAGGGCTTCTGACACAACATATTAAAACGAGTTATATTCATTTTCTAGTACAAGAATTTTTTAGGTCCTTGTTGGTCCATACTCAAGTATTAATACAGCATTGGCTTAAGATTTAGGTTAGAATGTTCCTGGTAAAGGTAAATTCAAAAAATCGTTGAGGAAGCACTGTATAAAGTGTTATTGTAATTGTTCCATATAAGATGTATTTTATATGTATGTACAAAATGTATGTACTGGTAGATTCCCCAGTTATTCGGAGCACCCCTCGAGAGCTGCGAGGGCACAGTTGAATCCGTGTACACTACCTAACAGGACTAATGAAGATGTGTCACTAACGTATTTACAAGGAAAATCCCCACTCCAACACAAAAGGAGTGCTTGGACACCGGGAAGTCTGTTTTTGTGGTGGAGAAAGCCGAAGTATTCGGAGAGAACCACCGGGCTGCTCGGTGAACAGACAAACCGTAGAGATATCAGCAGATTGATCTCCAGGCCAAAATCGGGGGGAAGTTTGACCTACCGAGGTTCCAAAGTACCCATTCTAGTTTAAACTCCGGTCTTCGTACCAGAGATATGTGCGGGAAAGTGAAGATTACCCTTCTGATTTACTGATATTTTGAGCGCTCCGGGTTAGAATCGAACCCGCGACCTTTAGAACTTAAAGTCGAAGATTGTTATTATTTTGGATTTTAAAAATGGCAAATGTAATCAATACTCAATTAAAAAAACGTGATCGAAAACTTTCACAAATTAACAAAAAAAGTTAACTGACAGACATATATTTTCAAAAAGTTTGTGAAACCTTTCAAATAAAGCATTTGATTTGATCTGATCTGATTATGTATCAAACTTAGCATTCTGTTTGACTTGTTTTATATTGGTTTGTGTTCCGCCATGAACTTCTATGAATTTGTTTATCATACACCATTTCAGTGCTGACGTTTGGGACCAAGATCGATATATTTTCATATAAAAGTATCGACTCATGATCAGCGATATCACTTAAAACATCCATTATAGAATAACAAAAATTTTCAAATAGTTTTCAGCTCTTTTCATTGTTCGCTATAAGATACTGGTAAATGATCAATGCAGGTGATTACTGTGAAAACTTTATTAATCTAGCAAAGTGTTTGTTTCAAAGCTCTTCAGTTTTAATTGTTTCATGGCTCTTCTATTTTGTGCCCAATAAATTGAGTTTAATTTTTTCAGGAACACTCAAGCCTACACCCAGTGAATCTTTCGAATTGTTTTGTTCATCTGTACGCACAGGGCTCCAAAACACGGTGGGCTTCAGGGAAGAACGCAATTTCTGAAATAATAACATAATTATAGCATAAAATTATTACATACAAATATCTACAAGGCCTTTAGTATCGTCAGGTACAAGCTAGCGTAATTATTTGGTCCTTACAAATATGACGGCGAGATTCCATTATGTAATAAAATCTATAATATGTGTAGTTTAGTTGTTGCCCATGTTATACGATATGATAAAAGACTTTCAATAAGCTTAATACGGTTTTGGAAGAAACAGAGAACACTCCTCGCCATATACCTAACTGGAAAATAAACGCAAAGTTTTGTATGAGAAAAAAATAATAAATGTGTTTCCCTTTTCTCTTGCTTAAGCCTTCTACGTTTGTTTAATGTTCCTTAACATATCGGAAAAGAACAACACCTAAGACATTGAGCAACAGCAGTTTACCGATGTTAAAATTAATTAAGAAGATACAAATAAAGGTACAAACAAAAGCAGAGGCATTGGCATGAACTCTAAAAGGAGCGACAGGGTAAGAGTCTCCTTTGTATGCATCACTTGCCATACGAAGACACGGTATTCGTGGAACTGCATATCTGGTATAAAGATTTGAACCTTTTAAAAATTATCTAAATCATTTTCTCTTAAATTGCAGCATCACGTTAGCATGAATATCAAATTAGACAAGTATTTACACCGGATGTGATATATACTCACTTCTGAAAGAGATCTTCCCTCTGCCTTCCGAATGGCAATGATTGCGAAAACTATAATAGGTATTATAGGAGAAACGGATATAAGTATTCCAATAACTGCTGCATATTGTGGATAAACATAAGATCCATACGCAGGTCTCTTATATCCTGCAAATGTTGATATAACTAATACCTAGAAAGAAATTAACAGAAACAATATGATTCTGGTGAATCAACAAGTTATTCAATATCAACGTAAGCACTTTGACATTTGACGACGTGTGTCATATGTGAGAGGGGATGGGGTTAGAGTCAGTTTCCTACAAAAAATAATCCAGTGCTTACAACCACTTGGACGATGCCACTGCTGATGGAGGCTTCCTCCCAGAGGGTATCACCAGCCCAGTAGTCAGCACTTCTGTCTTGACATGAACTATCATTGATATAGAAATAATTATAAATTAATTCTTTACTGAATTTTTCTAAATCCTGAGTGTTTTTCCCCCATGAATACATTACCTTAGATGTATTTGGCAAAACTTTCGGCATTTTGGACCCCAATACTCTTCAAAATCGTACTTTGTTTGGTCTTTTTTTTATTATTCGAGCGTACATTTTTGTACTTGGTGAATCTTTTGTAAACGAAACGCGCGTCTACCGTACACCAGTTTAATCCTGGTATATATGATGAGTTCATTTAAAACCAACAGGAAGATGCCACTGCTGATGGAGGTTTCCTCCCAGAGGATATCACAAGCTCAATAGTCAGCACCTCTATTTTGACATGAATTATCATTGATATGATCATAATTATACATAAACTGTTTACAAAACTTTGAATTTTTCGAAATCCTATGGATTTTCTTACCAAGGAAAAGATTACTTTAGAATATTTGGCAAAACATTTCGGAATTTTGACCATCAATGCTCTTCGTACTTTATTTGGTCTTTTTAACTTTTTGATTCGAACGTCACTGGTGAGTCTCTTGTAGACGAAACACGTGTCACACAATTGTAATCCTGGTATCTATGATGAGTGTATAAGCAATGTATTTACTATGCATTATTTATTCATGCAATCATTTGTGTATTTGGATTACTGGAATGTTAACTGTACATACATTATTGAATAAATTTGATCTAAAGTAAGATACTTATACTTTTCTTCAATATCAAAATAAAACATAAAATACTTTAGACATAGTACTTACCAATAATATTACAGGAGTAACAACTGCTATACATATTCTAAAAAAGGCAGGTAGTCGTTTACCTATCATCAGGTGGAGGTCTTGTGATAGACGTTCGAGCCCTGAAGAGTAATTAATGTTTCTCTACTTATTTTGATTAGGAATATTTAATGCAAATTTACTTCCAAAATATCACTTATAGTAAGCTTAAAATATATGGTAAAGCAATTTAATCCGCTCCATTCAGACTTCAAAGTCAGGAACTAATAATTAAGAAGTTTTCCTGAGTTGCTGTCTGCCATATTGTTTAGCATACGTGAGGCCTTTGGTTTCTCGTTAGAATTGTTTCACATTTTGTCATGCCGGTGTCTTTTAAGTGTACTATACGTTATGTTTTGCTCATTGCTTAAGATCGTTCGATCCTATAGAGTTGCTTACATCCAAGTCCTTTGCTTTCTTTTGGATAATTTTCTCAATGGCAATCATACCAAATCTCTTTATTCCTTTAGAAAATGACATTTTGATGTAGGTATATCGTTTTAATGATGCACCACCATCAATATGATACGTAAGGATCTTATCGTCAGAAAGTTTTGAAAAAAACAAATTGGCTGGTCAAGCAATGACAACTGAGTAACATGTTAAAAAATACAGCTAGTTGTTGTAAGAAACTCAAAGTACACAAATGAAGCTGTCATACTGTGAATTGTAGGAAAGTTAGGAAACATTTTGTAAAAAGTTCTTTTGTGGTATAATTCAGAGAAAATAGGTCTTTCATTCTTTTCGATCACGACTGCATTGCAAAATTAATGCTGAACAATTCTTTCAAAAGATTGTTCAACTTTACAAGCTGATTTAGTATATAAAATAGCAGTTTGAGGTTAGAAAATAACTTGCGACGAACTGTTCGTCATAAGGTATTAACGTTTATATGCCAAACTTGATAGGTTATTATTTACATTCCATAATACGTGGCTATTTGGAATGTATATGTAATAAAACAAAACATAATGAATTAAAATTATTGAAGCACGAAGCATGTGATTAACCTTCAAATTGCAATATGTAAATTACAATACCCACCATATATCCATCCAAATATTAAGCATTCCAAAATACCAATGATTGGTCTTGAAAAGGCAGCAATATACCAATCGATCAGTTGGAAAATATATATTCCTCCCTGAAAAGAAGGCAAAAATTGAGCCTCAGCTTGTGTGGAGTTCATGTTGCTCAATCTTCAGTTTTCTTTGGAATTTCTTGTTATTAGCTAATTGTCTTATCATCCTTTTTGTCTGTTTTTTTTTAACTTATGATATTTCATTACCCCTTAAATATACAATGAAAAGTCGAATATACGAAAGTCATATACTCGTTTTATATATTTATTTAAAAAATCACTTTTTTTCTTTTTATTTAGAATGGCCATTTTCAACATGCGAAAGCGTCAGCTTTTGACAAATATTTGTTTCTGAACGAACCCTCCTGGCTGTTTTTCAGTGCAAACCGGATCGATATATGGGCTTATACACAATATCATCAATGCAATGCAATGCAAGACGCGTATAATATGCTTTAAGAAAACTTCTACAGACATTACTACGGTATCACTGCTATGATGACATTGCATTAAAACTCTTTCTCGTTGTTGATTAACCAGAAAAATGGTATTATCTCAATTAATTAATTTTCTTTTTTTTTAGGAAATCATGAAGGTTTATTGTCGTTTTGTCACTTTAATATATTTTTCTAATAATAGCAAAAACCCTAAATTTTACAAAATTTCATAGGTAAAATGTATAAAGAACGTATGAAATACCATATGTATAATTATCTTCTGATTTCATGCGTCAACTGTAAAGTAATTACAAACACAACATGATAAATATGAACAGTTATATTTTATTAAATTAAACTGATTGACTTGGCGAATGTACTAAATAGTCTTGTAGATATTTAAAGCGTACACAATAAACAATATTGAATGAAGGTTTTAAAGGGACATTGACTGTCCAATTTATTCTCACCGATTCGACCCAAAATCGCATATTTTATTTATGACATACTAAATAGTCTATCAAAATTACAATAAGTCCTAAAAAACAATTTACAATGCTTGGACTCGTTATAATGTATCAACATTTTCTGTGAATTTTAGAATAGAAGCCATCTAAATAACCATGTATCGATATGATCTCCGAAGAATTCCGTGGGTCATTATGACCTGATATAAACATATATATAAATATAAATACACAGGCAAGCACGGTCAATCGTATAATGACGATTTTTCTAGGTCTGTTTGATTTCATGTCATAAATTAGAAAACTAGGTTAATTATCGTTGTAGCTGTATCTGAAAGATTTTTTTTTGGGCAGAATCAGTCAACGAAAGGGGTCTTCACGGTGTCGGCCTTGTTTCACTTTTCAATGTTGACATTCTTTTCTTTTTAATGACTAAACATACTTAGTCCATGCGTAGTCCATTCAAGTTAATGGTTAAATTAAAGTTCGCATGAATAAATGCCGATTCAAATGGGTTGAATTATTGACTTGCAAGCTAATAATACTTCATCGATGGATTGGAGCTTATTTTGACAAAATCGTACCGAAACTGACTGCTAATAACGAAATATTATTTACACAATTAGTTTTATAAATGTTTGAAACCAAAAAACAAATCTTATTTTGATTGTTTGTCAACTTCGTAGCTAATGCCACTTTAAATGACAGTATCGACGTCTACACTAACAATATTTTTGCTATTTAGCGCATAGGTGGTCTCGCAGCATGTAGAGGAGTTCCTATCTTCAATGCTCGGCCGCAAGCCGGGGCACAACAAAAGATTTAAAAAGAAATATTTGATGCATCTCTGAAAATCAAATTGCAATTAAAGTATAAAGGCTAATATTTACTGGAAAGACGATGTATCTTTGTATTGAATGTTACCTTGTGAGCATGACTACGTGAGATTTTATAAGAAATTAAAAAAAAAATTGAAAACATTCGAAATATTCTTCGTAGCCACTTGCAAAATTGTTACTTTCTATAAAAAAAAATTTGGTATGTTTTTCATTACATTTGAAAATATAATCAATTCAGTTTACATAAGTGAAGTATGATTTCGAACAATTCTTTTAAATAATACTTAATTTATATATATAATAAAAAGACAGAAGTATTTGATTACAAAAGAACTGTTTCTCTTCCTTACATTTTACATGAGTGTGCGTTATTTTGACCTTTCTTTCATTCTCATGTTCGTTGTGCTTTTGTACATGTATTCGATTTACGTGATCTCGAGGCTATTGCGTCGTCAAGACAACATTGGAAACTGACGGTGTTGGTTTCAATCTTGTAAATGAGAATGTATTATCAGTACATGTACGGAATAAAGATAAAAAAAATGTTTTGCTTTTTTTGGTTGTTTGCTGTCGATATCGTTTATTTGAATTTGTCTTACATAATGTTTCTATATAAATTAACTAAAAACTATAATTTCATATAAGATCGCTACACACCTGGAAGCAGAATATAATTCCAAGTACAAAACACAGCAAACAAAACAGGAATGTTATAAGGCTTCTCCGTCTACGTAGTCTAGGAAAGCTATCCGTAAATACACCAACAGCAGATTCGCAAATGGCAAACTAAAAGTATAAATAAATATGACATGTATATATGATCGTTCTCTCTTCTTTCTTGGTCTAGTTTCATTATGGTTTATACTCAACAGCTTTATTACAATGGGGAGACAGATCGATGAACAATTGAAACGTCATTACATACTTTCGTAAATTACTTAATAAGATGGCCAAAAACTCCTTATTTTTCCCCTCAATATGAAGCTTTAACTACCTCTGGTTAAGCTGACCTTATACCGATAAGTTATAAAATTGAGAATGGAAATGGGGAATGTGTCAAAGAGACAACAACCCGACCATAGAGCAGATAACAGCCGAAGGCCACCAATGGGTCTTCAATGCAGCGAGAAACTCCCGCACCCGGAGGCGTCCTTCAGCTGGCCCCTAAACAAATATGTTTGCACTGTTATGGCGTGTTTTGGCTTTTTACTCTCTACCATTTTATATGTTTGGCTTTCTAAACTTTTGGTCTCGGACATAACCAATGGATGGTACATGTATTCAAGAAACACGTATTTTGCGTATAAAATACTGTCATTAATTCTATTAGTATGGTACCGCTAATGATGGATTTCAGTCTCCTACAGTAGCCAGTGCTTCGAAATTAGACTAGAACTGTGTTATTGTAACACCTTAAAAGTTGCAACTCCTTGTTCAAAGTAAACCTATGATAGTTTTGGATGTTCTGTTTAGCTGCTTTTAGTTTTAATACTGTAAAACGTTTTCTATTTCTTGCTTTCTTAACATTTTTTCTTTAGCGTATCAGGTGAACATTATTCCATTATTGCGTAATATGCACAGAGAAATCATATCATATATATATGTACATGTTTAATGTTTGCAACATTTAAAAATAAATCTTTGAATGATTCTTAGTAGCACAAAAACGATTAATTTTGTTTGCAGCCGATCAACCAAAAGAAAGAAATTGGCATACACACAAGATCATGTAAAATGATATGACTCACTTTTTAAATAGTTTTTTTTCGTTTGATATATCTATTCCTTACCTGACTATCTAAGCCAACAGATAAAAGCATTATGAAGAAGAGACATGACCAAACATTCTGACCTGGTAGATGTGCTAAGGCTTCCGGATACGCCATAAAACCTATGCCTGGTCCTAAATAGACATAACATATTCTTCTTATTGATACACTGTTAGCAATTAAACTTTTTTTCCGGTCACATGAGTAAGAAAAGTGCATTGCCTCATATATATAAATATATACGCAGATTTTTATTATATATTTTCTATATTTTATTTTCTAATACAGTTCTCCCTGATTATTGTGTGATGAAACACTCTATTATCAATTTTAAAGATTCCCTATGAATATTTTGATAGTGACCTATAGTTGCAATTGCAGTGTCAGTACAGTGTATTTATCAGGCATGTTTTAGTGGATATCAAACAACGCTGTAGTTAGTATTACAACTCAATCTCTTTGAATATACTGTTACAGTAACTATCTATACAATTAAAACTGATATAAAGGCGTTTATTACATATACATTGAACAATTGTTACTAAAATTGGCGTGATATTATTTTCTGATAAATAGAGATTCGGAAAGAAATGATCACTATGCATATCATACTAGAAGTATTTTGTTCATATTTGATATAAAGGATGCAAATGTTGTAGCAATTCATCACTCAAGATCATTAAGACTACTCGATTAAACTCAAATGCAAAGAAACAGCGCGTGTATTGCTGTTCTTTGTAGAAAAAAATACCTTGAGGTCTTCAACACAGAGCAAAAGCCAACATCTCACTGCAAATTCATTACTTACTGTCTAGCAACGATTAGGGAGGATTTTTGTTCTATAGGTCGATAACACTGCAGACGAACCACACGTTGCGTATAAGAAATGATCAACCGGTCGGGGAAAGTATAAATCGGCTTAGAATTAGAAACACATATATGTCAACACACCTGATTTAACTATTTTGTCAATAGGCAGTCCAAACTTTGTAGCCATGAATCCTAGGACAGTAAATATGACCAGTCCACAATATATACTTGTTCCTTCACTTGTAAACGACAACAGGACTGAATCCCTTCAATAGAATAAGGGGAAAACACAACTTAATGTTTAATTGTAAAAATGTTTATTATATAAAAAAAAATATTATATCTATGGAATGCAATGCACATTAACATATATCGTTTAATTTGAAGGAAACTACTTCAAACATCATGAAAATAATTATATTTCAATTTTATATATCCCAGGGCCTTTTATAGCTGCCTATGCGGAATGCATGCGGAATGGGTTTCGCTCAATGTTGAAGACCGTATGGTGACCTATAGTTGTTAACTTATATGGCATTTGGTCTCTGGTGGAGAGTTGTCTCATTGGCAATCATACCACATCTGCTTATTTTTTTTTTTATAATTTTCCCTTTTTATTTGCATCCTTTTAATACTACTAGCTGTGTACTGTGTATATGGTGTGGGTACTATTCCGAATATATTTTTATATTTTAGAGTTCAGTTGAATGAAGTGAAACCATCGAGAAAATATTATTGCGACATTAAAATGTTATAAAATCTTACAAATTTTCAGTCGTCAAATTAAGTAAGCAATAAGCATTGATTTTTCGCCATCGAACACCAATCATAACACCAATGGACAAAAACACATAGCGAATTATAAAAGTACAACATAAATAAATTGAATATTCGAAACATGACAATTCCCAATCTCTCAAACCTCTTAATAATATATTACAACAACTTGGCAAAAACTAAAGTAGAATTTAAAAGTTTTAAAATTTTAGTTCAAAATATTATTATTGTTTCAAATGGAGTTGGTTTATTTTATTTACCTTAAACAGTTGTTGTCAAATTTGTTGAAACTAGCGAGAGAAATAAGAAGACCAGTCCCAGTTCCTAATGAAAAAAACACTTGTAAGCCAGCTTCAATCCAAATCTAAAATAGTGAGAGAAAAAACACTTGTAAGCCAGCTTCAATCCAAATCTAAAATAGTGAGAGAGAAAACACTTGTAAGCCAGCTTCAATCCAAATCTGAAATAGTGAGAGAAAAAACACTTGTAAGCCAGCTTCAATCCAAATCTGAAATAGTGAGAGAAAAAAAAAACACCTATAAGCCAGCTTCAACCCAAAAGGTTATTTTAATAGATATAAACAAGTTACCAAAGTTTCATGAAAACTGCTCAAAGCATTTTTGAGTTATTGTCCGAAAACTGGAAAATCCGCTTTTTTAATGAATAAAACCCCACAACTAGGAAACGTAAAATCTGAAATTTATAACAATCGAAAGGGAGCTTACATCAATAGATATAAACAATTCACCAAAGTTTCATGCAAATTGGTTAAAGGGCTTGTGAGTTATTGTCCGACATGTTGACGACGGACGGACTGACTGACGGATGGACGGACGGACGGACAACGGTATACCATAATACGTCACGTAAACGGGCGTAAAAAAATAGTGAATAAAACACTTTTAAGCCAGCTTCAATCTAAATCTAAAATACTGATAGGAAAAAAAAACACTTGAATACCAGCCTTAATCAAAATCTGGAATAGTCAATTGATTGTTCGTCTATTTGTAAATTTCTAATACTCATAGGAAAAGACGAAAACACATTTATTAAGCAAACTCTCTGTCTCTCTTTAATTCTTAAGTTTATGCAGATATATTTTTAATTATCTAAAGAAATTGAAGTTGAAGTATGCATATATTACAAACGAAATGATTTTGTTCATTAAATTTGAACATTTTAAAGTACATTTTTAAGAACATATATCATTTTAGTACACAGATGTCTGTAAACCCACTTAAAAATGTTAAGCACGACAAACTATTTCAGCATAACCATGAACAACTATTATAATCCTTCATAAATACATTATAAAATAATAACCATGTTATCAAATAAAATTTGACGTTTAAATTAGCATCATTGACTTTAATCATGTTAGCTTACATGTGTAGGTGTTTAATAGCATACGAACGCACGACTCAACATTAATAACGATCAATTTTTCATGTTGCATTAGGAAAAGATTTAAAACATCTGTTATCTAGATAAAAAAAATAGCGCCAACATACTATTTACTAGCATATGGAGAGAATTAATAAAAAAAAAACGATGTCTTGGTACGATGAAATCACGAACAAGTCCACAAAACACTACATAAAAAGTAAAGATTGAGAAACACGAACCCAAACAAAAGCCTTGGGTTAACTCATGTGCTCCGGAAGGGTAGTCATCTCCTGCCACTCACGTGACACCCGCCATGTTTATGCATGTATAAATTCAGTGAAAAGTCTCATTTGTTGATGTCACAATCGAATAATGTTTTAGTCGCACGAAGCGAACAAATTATTTTAAGAGCTGCACATTAAATTTATGACAAAAAAAATATCAATCAGATAGTTTTCCCCCCGATCAAAACAGTTTGTTCTTCAAAGTTGGGAATCATAATATTTTTGTTATTTTAGAAAATAACCATACTCCCGATCTCTCAAAGAGAACATGTTGTTCCTACATTATTTTTTTCGTACTTACACTGATTTCTAAAAGTTTACTAAAATCTGGATTTAGATATGTCATAACTCCGTAAAGAGAACCATCAAGTGTCAATCCTCTGATGAATATCACCGTTAGTAAAATATACGGTAATAATGCTGTTACGTACACAACCTTTTAAAAAACATATATATACATGTAATTTAGACATACACTTTTTCTCTTTATAACTCATTATTAAAAGATATTTTCAAAATTGCCTTAAATGGTCGACTATATGCAAATTACGCCCAATTTAACGTAGTGCTTTTAGTATATAACTTATTGAAATTGTTTCAAACCTTTATTGATTTATTTGCATTTTTACGAAATGAACACGGCTTTTCACATTTTAAAAACGTTCACCGGCACTCTTATCAATATACTAATGAGTAAAAATTTAGTCATTCACATGTATAGTGTTAAAACAAAACCATTACTATATATATGCATGCAGAAGTAACAAATTGAATGTACACATGCAGTAAAGGTCAGAATTTCGAGTATAATATACTAAATCAATGGACATACGATAGAAAGTAATGTTTACTAACCTTTCCTATTGATTTGATCCCTTTCATTATGCATAGTCCTACAATAACCCATGCACCAAGCAAGCACAACAATAAACGCCAGTTCAAATTACCTAAGTCTTCTAAACCTGTGGACATTTGCAGTACATTGTTTCTGTAACGAAGACAATCGGTTACTTACAAATGTAAGAAATGCATAATTTTTTTTTAGACTTATCAGTATAAAGCATATTGTAGGAATGCTTTATCTAAAATTGGAGTTCTGCTTCTTTGCTACATGTATATTTGCATTCGACATTTGAGTGCAAAACCAAAGACCATTCGAATCTTGATCAGAATAATGTGTCGTAGTAGAGATACATATTTTATTGCGGAACGTTACCTTGTGAACGTAGCTTGACAAACATTCGACTTATTGTATATTAATACTGGTTCTGTGTAACAATTTAAACTCTTATATAGGGAGTGTGGCACGCATGGTCATGAATTTTCTTCAAACTTCACACACTTACTAGTCTTGATGAAACAAACAAAAAATGGCAAACTTTTGGTTGCTAAACATATCGGTTGCCATATGGCAACCGATGACCAGTTTTACCTCTTCTGAATATCTATGATTTTAAGCTGAAAAAGGCTATTTTCAACATAATTTTTCATAATAAATAATTAAGATAATGAATATTGTTTTATGATTTTATTAAATATATGCATTTTATTAATGTTATTTAATAACTGATATTTTCATATTCCATTTCAATCATTATCACATATACCCCCCTTTTTATGTGGTTTGCACTAGGTAAAAAATACCCTTTTGAGATCATTTTTGAAGGCTCACCATAATTGTTTGCGGACACCTGAGTTAAAGTCAACCATGAATTCATAAATATCATAGTCTTATCTTATCAATGATGCGAAAAAGTAATGGGGAAGTATGTCTCAATATTTTGTTACCATGGATACAAAATGCTTAGTTTTCATTTTTTCAGAAATTTTTTTTTTTTGAAAATTTTGAAAAAAAATGTTTTAAAACCTAATTCTGCAGTCAGAAAAAAATAAATAAATATACAATATGTAGAAATTATTGTAATCATCAAAATTTTAAACATATTCATATATAACGGTATTATAGTTTTAACTGTGTTGCTATGGAAACAATTTCATTTTGATACACAAGTTTAAAACAATTTTGAAAAAAGTTTCAGTTAGTTTCTTGAATGTGCACAAAAGTAGGAAAACTAAAACACTTATTAAGTTTCACTGTATACACACATGTGTATATATAAATGATTTTGCTAGTATAGTATTTCGATAATGGTGTTACCACTTGAAGGAAACAAACACAATTTCTCTATTCTGGATAAAAGTGCTGATTATAAAGAAATTTCAGTCTGTTTTCATGATCATGAAAAATATACAAGAATAACAATTACTCAATCTAGAAAAAAACAAATAAAATCATGTAAAAAATTACATATTCAATTGTACAATATTTGCCATTGAATGTGTTGCCATAGAAACAAGCAGTTCATTTGCAAAAATACGGATAAGTACTAATTTTTACAAATGCGTTTTAATGAACTTCGATACATATAACAATGAATGTATACAGTTTTGCTTACATAAGCAGGTTTTCTTTGTATTTGAGAAATATTAATAATATTCCAGGCATTATAAGTGATAGTGTTGCCATAGAAACAACAAATTACATGTATATGCATAAACTTGGAAAACGCTTGAAAATAGACTAAATCTCTCATACAAAAACTCTCTTCTGTAAGTTTTCAATTTAATGCAGTGTCAAAGAATGATGGCTTTTACAAGTCAGTCCATCAACTAGTATTCAAATGCTGTTGTGAAGATTAAAGATCAAAGTGCCACTTGGTGTTGACAGTTTGGAATTTTAGCTACTAGCTCCTAACTATTTATACATAATATTAAGAAGATACAATCAGAACATTGTTCAGTTGACAGTTCAAGAAAGGCCAAGCTTAAAATTGTTTGTGTGAGGCACAGAAATAAATACTTATCACAAATAAAAATAATCAATATCGTTGCGGGGGGGGGGGGGTAGTATTTTGTAAAAATGAAATGATCGATTAGTTAGGGTTTGCTTTGTGTCCAGTGTCAAATATCTCATGCATATTTCAGAAGAGAACAAAATCAATAAATTTAATAGGAACATTGTTGGTCCAGTGCTAGTCTACTGACCCAAAATTAATTAAAGGTAATAATTTGATACACTTCAACACAATAAAAAATAGAACAAAAAGAGTCAGACGTTGGTTCTCTAAGTAAATGATAATTGACCATCTAACCTTTCTTTCTATAAAGGAAACATACCTATATAATGAGCTGTTTATTTTTCTTATTCATTATTAAACTCGATGTTGAAATGGCAAAGCATGTATAGCTATACGTTTTGAATATTATTGTATTATTGGATGATGAGTATCTACATGAAGATCTTTTTTGAGGTGAAGTTGAAAAAAATAGACAATTTCAAAAAGATCCGGCAATATGGGTAGGCTGGGATGAAGGCGGACAATTTGAAATATCACTGGAAATCGGGATCAATTGGACAAGGACAGAAATTTCAATAGGTCAACTTGGGTGCCCCTAAAAGAATTAACACAAGGGTTCGTTAGCAAACAAAAGGCGTAACCAACAAGGGCGGGTACTGTTGGCCGTTGACCCGATGGTCCCTGCTATCCATCCGACACATTTCTTGTTTGCCTTTCTGGCCGAGGAGGAATTTTCGAGATTTTCCAAAAAGATTCGTTTTCCTACGAGGAACCGCGGAAATCTATCAGATGGTGGCTGTGGGTCTTAAAACGAGCAGTGGGGGGAAATATACCATCTGGACAATTTTCATATAACGGGTCCTACTGACTGCCTAAAGTGATGGCCCGCTACATTTATGCTTCAGTGATTTAATATGTAATCAACCAAATATTTCCAATAAATAAGGAGGGGACAGGCGCTCAGGGCCCCTGGATCCGCCTTTAGTAGCACTATCTTAACATTAGTATTAGGCATTGGATTATTGAAATTTGAAAAAATAACAATTATATTTAGTTTATGGATTTTTAGCAGCAAATTAAAAAATATTGACCATAAATTATGATAACTCTTTACCGTGAAAAGGTTAATTTAAAAGAATTATATACATGTACATATAATTTTATTTTCACTGAACATGCTGAAAGCCCATTACAGAAAGATGTTTCTCAAAACTAGTATATTGTTTTTCTTTTAACAAAAAAAAATAGGTTTTACTTTGAAACAGGACTCAATGTTTATAACATATAATACACTGTGATTTTTTGTCCTTGACTTTTTGTCTGTGACTTTCTGTCCTTTATTCTGACCGTTATCATGACCAGGAAAAATGACTTTATACCTATTTATATGTAATAGGCTTTGCATCAAATTTATAGAAACACTTAGATTGAACCATTAATTTTATCAAATAAGAAAATATAAAATGCTTTTCAAACATATTAGCAAACGATAAATGTATTGACTTTCGAGAACATTTGGCATACCTCAAGTTAAGTCGTTGAATATGTTTACTTATATTTTATTAAAATATTTTAAACTACCAAGATATCGTGCATGCAGGGGCTCGGGCATACCTAAAGTAGTCCGCGAAATATTTATTTTTTTATGAAAATATTTAAAACTACCAAGATATCCTACACAAGGCTCGGGCATGCCTTAAGTTGTACGTGGAAATAATTATTTACTGTTATGAAAATATTAAAAAACAATTATATTGGATTTATCAACTTACATGTATTTTTGGCCTACTTCACACCTTTTGTGTGTTACTTTAGATTTGTGATCAAACGTGTCAAATTATAACCGGTAATAAACAACATAATTTACAACACAGTAAAATACAATATACTACTCAATACCATAAAAAGTTTAAATAACCTGGTGCCCGTCATAGTACCCTAAACTGTTTTTCCCAGTTTTTTTTTATCATTTGATAAAGACTTTACCATTTAATCTTAATGGGTTTTCTTTATATAAATTTTAAGCAAATCCTATAAGATATGGATAGGTACTAGGTAGTACAACGATCAGGACACAGTCAACGTTGGTCAGGTCAAGTTTTTTTTTACCCCAAAACATATATTTCCCCCCTTTTTTTAATGATATAAAATAACACAGAAATTTTCATCGGTTAGGTCATTGCTGTTGTTGGTCAGGTCATTGTCAACGTTAGAAGGGTAACGTTTTCGGAATTTTTCGGAATTTTTTAATATTTTTTTCTATATTTTTTCATATAGTTATATATTAAATGATCAAATTTTCTTATATTTCAAATTTAATATAAATCCTTTAAGAAATAAAAAAGTAATGAGCATTTTCATCTGGTCCTGTCATTGTCAGCGTTGGTCAGGTCACGTTTTATGAAGATTTGAAAGTTTTCTATATTTTTTCTTATATTTATGTATTAAATGGACTAAATTTATAGCAATTCAAATTTGACAAAAATTTTAAGAAATAAAAAAGTTATTAGCATTTTCGTTTTGGTCCAGTCATAAGTGTAACCCGTCAAAGGGAGATAATTCGTATTGTTAGGAATATTACACAATGACCATTTTTTAGAAATTAATTTCAGATGTTTCTAAGTAGATTCCCCATAACTTTTTTTGATTTTTGATAAAAACAAGGCTGAAATTAATTGTTTTTGTGTTTCTTTTTAATAGATGTAGCCGCATAATTTCACAACACTACACCAAATATTGTATTTTTCTCAAAATTCCCAACTTTCTCCGCTGTTACCATGGTAACCAACCAATGTATATATCGGTTGGCATTATTTTTCTGACTAGGCTAATAGGATATACATATCAGCCAATTTTCAGAAAGATCGGTGACTATGTGTGCCGAAAAAGTTTAAGTGGTTACAGAGAATGAGTATTAAAATAAGAAGATGTGGTATGATTGCCAAAGATACAATTATCCACCAGAGACCAAACGACAAAGATTCAAAAACAGTGTTTTATTTTCAATAACAGAAAAATGACTATCGGCGTATGTAGAACTCATGTTGGGTTTTTTTCCGTAAGAAAGAATAAATTTAAAATTAACACCAAAAGAAGGGCTCATTTTGACATTCATGTTTTGTACCTCCATAACTTAAAGAGTTCTTAAATTATATGAACCCGAAGGAAAGATCTATTAGGGCTTGAGAACTTACTGCCAAAAGTCTTCCTGTGCAGTAATCCATTCGGAACTGTTATTCGCTATCAACTCCATGTTTGTGGTATCTTCATAAACCTGTGAACTAATGTTCATACTGTGCCCCGTTATGTTATTAATATTCGTCAAGAACCCGTGATCCACTACACAATTAGGACTATTCCAGTAGTTGTCACAAGTTGTCCATGGTAACGGATTCAGAAAAGAGTTCCCGATGTAATACAAAGTCCATGCAATGATCATGTTGTAATAGATACTAAATACAAATATAGGAATCATCATACCAACACCTATTCCTGCAAAATAAAAATGTTATTCCAGTTCAGAGATAAAACTATTTAAGTTTGTTACATACATAGATATTTTTGTATACAAATGACGATTTTATAGGAAAAAACAATGACGGGGTGCATCTTCAAAGACACACCAACCCAAAAGCGCAAATTAACAGAACAAGCTATGCATCTCATCAAGGCTAAACCAATTTTAAACAATAGAACAATCAAAATTATTGTATTTTTATTTTGACCGGTTAATTAAGGGAAAAAGAGGACATGATTTATCCGTTGTTGTGTCTACGGAATAATTAGAGATGTGCAAATCCTATATACAGAGCGATGCTTCACTTTCTTAAATGTTAAATTTTTTTTTTCAGTTATGTCGTTTTCAACTTTGCTTAAACATGATTGTTACATGGCGAAATTTTCTGTATCCAATTAACCTAGATTTAGGTTAATAATAATTTTTAATTATAAATGATAGTATTCATATCAATTCAGTAAAGTAATGCATATTTATTAAGATAACACTCTTAAGCATTTTGTGCATGACGATTAAATAACAGGAGCGTTGCCCCTTGCTTTGGGTTTGTCAAGTGCGTAGGAAATTAAACATTGTTTTGGCATATTTATTATCTGAACTGCCTAAATGATTCTTTTGTAGTCATATAATTCAAAATAAAAATTGTGTTTCTTCGGGTAAATCAAATTTCCTCGCATATATCTATATATTGAACAAACTGACAGAAAATGGTATTTAACTTTAATAAAAATAATTTATAAAAATTTGCATATACGATTTACACAGGAATAGTGAGGTTACAACCGACTTTAATATTGAACACTACCACACTTAGTTAATAGATACAGATCAAGGCTGTCGTTCGGTATATCAAGAAAAATGATCGTGAAAGAATACCTAACGGTGGTCAAGCATTGCAATCGGATCGTGAAAGATTTGGTATCGGATCGTGAATGTGATTAATTGTATTTTCACTTCAAAATCTGTGAAAAACCTGCTGTATCTTCAAAACGCGGAATAAATCCAGAAAAAAATTATGTCTGTCAAAATGATTCAATTTTCTCAATAATACTGTGCATTAAGATTAAGAAAATATGCAGTACTTTTTGAGAAAACACAAAAGGCGCAACACAAGTCTATGGAATTCATTAAAAAAACACGGTTTGTACCTATAATGGTCACATTCCAATATATAATAATATATATTTGAATTTTGTTGATTTTTCATCAAAATTGGTCGTAAAAGATCGGGCAACGCATTATCTTGATCGTGAAAGTAAAGGTGTGACCAGACGGGCGCAGGACGTTTGCGCTTTTTTACCTGTAACACTAAAGGACTTATGCGCTTCAAACACTATGGACATTTGCGCTTTAAACTTTGATATACCTGTACAAAATTGACAAGACATTTGCGCTTTTTACCTATAACAGTTTACCAGTAATCTTTAAAAATGTACCATAGCCATGGAAAGATGTACATATTTGTTTTGAAAGTTCTTCCGAATTAACGACAAAATCAGAAAAAAATATTCAGGTAAACTAGACGTATTATAAAAAATATAGTATACGTTTCTAGGTAAACGATAGAGAGAACGAACCTTTATTGATGGAACATTTAGTTTTTGACCAAATTCAGTTAGCTTTTTTAATTAGTGAATTTAAAATTGAAAACTATATTCCTCTTGTGTCCATTCTGTTGCATGAATAGTCCGAGGAACTGCACCATCATAGTTGATCCAAGCTTGTTTCAATTTGTGAAGATCGAAATTTTATTTTTGAACCACTCAAATGTCCCGCGCCGGACCAGACTTAATAATCAGAAAACAATATTTCGTTTACCAATTGATATATACCAGTAAAAAAAAAACCGATACAAGGTAATGTATTTTCCATATATAATGAAATTGGATACACTGTACCAAGGTGAATAATTGCCCAATTCGTCTAATATTTACAGAGTGTTATCTTTTTTATCAAAACCATTGATTTAAGGCAAAACGCGATTTCTTTATTTTTTTGCAATTTTTGTTATTTCAAAAATCGTATTTTCACCCAAAAATTCAAATATCGATAATAGAGCTTATAACTTTAAACTTAAACATGGTCTGCTTAAAATTTTGAATGCCTTTGCAGATATTTGAATACTTAATTCTCATCTTCGAAATTAAGTGCCGATTGTTGTCATCATTTTCCGCAAAAAAAATTTGACCCCTGTGTTCAATAATACGGTATTTTCTCACTTTCCAATTTGGTCAGATTCTTTCAATCATATGCATTTGCTTTGCAAAAGCATGTTTTTCATTGGATAATTTAACAGTTTTTTCCTATTTATTTTATTTTATGATAAATTGGAGTGCAATCTAGTGTATCGTTACTTTTGTTGACTAGTATTCTTGCAACTAGTGGAAGCGTGTCATTATTTTTATAACATTAATGCTTTCATTTTTTTCTGACTTTTTTTTATTTCAACGCTTTTTCTTAAAAGTTATTAAAATAACTAAAAACGTGTCTAAAAAGGTAGATTTACTACATAAAGTACCTTCAGAAGCGTAAATTGTCGTAACGTAAAAGTATATATGTATCCATAATGCTTAATGGATCCGCCGCGGAAATATATGCATGTGTACGGGGGGGGGGGGGGGGGGGGGGGACCAGGGGGGGGGGCAGGGGGGGAAGCGTTGTTAAAAAGTAAAGTCACAAAAATACTGAACTCCAAGGAAAATTCAAAACGGAAAGTCCCTAATCAAATGGCAAAATCAAAAGCTCAAACACATCAAACGAATGGATAACAACTGTCATATTCCTGACTTGGTACAGGCATTTTCTTATGTAGAAAATGGTGGATTGAACCTGGTTTTATAGCTAGTTACTTTCAGATATAAGGAGTGTCGTTCGTGCGTATATAGTATGACAATATTAGCTCATTTATTGCTTATTTCGTGGCTGCGCTGACATTAACTTAGAAGGTACCATGATAACGTTATTTTTACTTGATTGTTTGATCAGCCTGTTCACAATAGCTATATGTCGTTGTATTCAACTTAGTGGGAAAATTACCAATCAACGTACCTCGACTGTGCCTAATGCCCAGCTTAAACTGTAATTTAGCCGATGAAGTTCTTTTCTAAATCTTTAATTTGTATAAGAAATCAAAACTTAAGAAAAACGGACAAATAAAGTGTTATTGCTACAAGGTACCTAGTCGGTGTGGTATTATACATATTAAGATAATCAGATCCAATGGCATTGAACGATTATAGACCTATTCACCAACAAAAAATAACCGGAATGAGTCTGGAAAATTCTGAATTTGCTATACCAATTAGAATTATAAATTATCCTAAAATTAAATAAATATTTGAACGTTTTCGTAGCATCAGATCTTTCACGATCCTTTTCACGATCTTCAAAAAGCGGTATCCGATCTTTCACGATCTGAAAAATCATTTTTTTGAAAATATTTCATTTTTTGCAAAATTTCAGGTTATTATAACACAAATTAACTTTAAGAACCATTTGAATCATTTAAATGGAATGACATTTTACAAAGAAAAGTTGTTTAGTCATTCGAAGTATGAAACAAAAATGGTTGTTTACATACTTATTGTCATTGAAATGTCGAGGAGCAATCGACCTTTTGTAGTTTTGTAAAAAACTGTGTACTTTTAAACCCGAACGACTATGAGTTAGTGTTACATTTTGTAATGGGTCATCCCAATTTAACGCAATTTTGATAATATCTACAACTACATGTATAGAGACTGCTATCATCTTGAGATATCCATGTACGTAGCTTAATCCAAGATCAAATTCGGATCACGCTTTTTTAAACACATGATAAACACGTAGGCATGTTTTAGATTATTGGAATACAAATTGGTAAAAACGATTATGAATAAGTTTGAACCCTATATTTCTGATAGATAGACCCGAGCCAACCATAATATCAAAAAGAAACAAATGTTATTTTAAGGTCCCAGAAAACTGTTTGATATAGTTTATTAAAAGAGGACAAATAAAAAAATGGTAAATTATTTAAAAAAAAAACACATAATAAACAGCGCCTGGTTGTGATAAATTGCCTATTCGGTTAATATCGCTCGTGGTAAAATCTTGGCAAAAAGGGCCAATCCGTGGTAAACATCGATATAAATTCAAGCCGCCATGAATTATTTGTAAGCTTGTTTCCGCCGATACACATAATTAATGACGAAAGATTTATTGGAGATATTGTCTTTTTGTCAGATTTTTCTCTATTATTCGTTAAAGTGTGGCATTGCTCTTACGTCTGCTAAGTAAAGAGGAAATAAATGTGCTTACCTGTATCCATTGATAGATTTACCTTTGAATAGAGGACATACTTCCCAAACATGAAGAAACCCTTTGCCACTGAACTGTCCAATTGTGGTCTCCAGGAACAATAATGGTAGTCCACAAAGAATCAAGAAAAACAGAAACGGAATTAAAAATGCTCCTAAAACAAAAAAAAATGATGTTCTTTAGTAAAAAAACACTATTTATTGTAATAAACAAGTTAGTTTTGAGTAAGATTCTGAGATGTCGTATTTATGTTGGGTTATTTTTCAACTTGATCTAGATTTCGTTCTTTTCCCATTTCAAAAACGTATATCCATACATTCCCTCTTTTTCAATTTTTTTTCGATATCTACAATTTGGCAAAGTATAAAAAAAATTCTATCTGACGAAATATTTAGTGATCCACCTTAAAAATCTTGAACATCATACAAATTGCAAACCGAACATCGTTTGTAGAAAAATAAACTTATTTAATTCTATAATTATAAAATTTATACAAATTTAGTGTTTACAATAGACGGGGGCTTTTTATTCATCACAAAAGAAGCAACACGATACAACTTCTGACTAGTTTATAGCACTGCAGGATTTAAACTACCTCTTTTCATTGATCCCAGTTTGTGCAAACATTATTAGCTTTCTTATACAAAATCTTTCCAGAGTGGCTATTTGTCCGGCTAGCCGGACGAATAGTGCTAGGGCTATTTGTCCGGCCATTGCAATGCGCATGTCATTTTATGTGCGTACGAAAGTGAGTGTAATATTATCTTCAGCAGCACCAGGGGTCGCGTGTAATCCGATCACTGATTTTCAATTTTGAAATCATGGCTGAAAACGGGGATATTAATATTTGTGATAATTTTCCAGTTTTCAGAATTTGACAAGGGAATACGATAGTATAACTTAAAAAAAGTGGGGGATGTGGGATATAGGATTATAAAAAGTGGGGATATGAAATATAGTGGACAATAAAGGTGGGATCTGGGTAAAAAGAAAAGAGGGATTTGGAAACTGTAGGAACGCCACGTGTTACCCCAACCCTCTCATCACCCCTAACTCAAAATATAGACAACTTTATGTTAAGGGGATCTATAACTCGATCTGTTTGACAGTCTCAGACATGATAATTTTGTACCTTTTTCAACAAGAAAAACGTTAACTTAATCTAAAATGCATGAGCCAATCACGACCCAAGTTTGGTTTACAAGTAATTTCCTCCCTCTTTTTGCAATGTGAAGCAATAGATATAGATATAACATTGAATATAAATGATTTTTTTTTCTAAAAGTCTAAATTGAAAACAACGTTCAAATCTATGATTGCGTTGGATAAAAACCGCAATTTTTATACGTGTGCATGTAAAAGAAATTTCTTGGTAGAGGGGTCTAAATACAGCACAAACAACAATTTCCAAAAGACCAAAAAAAGTGAAAAAGTCTTTTAACAAAACGCATTTGACTAACAGGTCGAACAACTGATGTTCTTAAACCCTGCTGACTGCCATTGCCAAATAAATTGATCACCAGATCTAACGAAGTGGATCTTAATATTACTTTAATTCCAAACAGAAAACAATAAACTTGTGGAAAAGATGGTATACCACAAACATGAGGTGCAAAAATTTGTACACCATATCCGGATTTCGACAATTAATGTCTCTTCAGTGATGTTAGGGATCGAAACGGTATTTGGAAGGCCATATAATTTACCTCAATTAAGGATAGACTCTTGAATTTTAAAGAGTCGAAATAGGATGAACGGATCATATAAACCCGAAGGAAAATATAACACAAGCCCAAACGAAAAAATATATAAAAGTCTAAATTGAAAACAACGTTCAAACCTATGATTGCGTTGGATAAAAACCGCAATTTTTATACGTGTGCATGTAAAAGAAATTTCTTGGTAGAGGGGTCTAAATACAGCACAAACAACAATTTCCAAAAGACCAAAAAAAGTGAAAAAGTCTTTTAACAAAACGCATTTGACTAACAGGTCGAACAACTGATGTTCTTAAACCCTGCTGACTGCCATTGGCGATTGCCAAATAAATTGATCACCAGATCTAACGAAGTGGATCTTAATATTAATTTAATACCAAACAGAAAACAATAAACTTGTGGAAAAGATGGTATACCACAAACATGAGGTGCAAAAATTTGTACACCATATCCAGATTTCGACAATTAATGTCTCTTCAGTGATGTTAGGGATCGAAACGGTATTTGGAAGGCCATATAATTTACCTCAATTAAGGATAGACTCTTGAATTTTAAAGAGTCGAAATAGGATGAACGGATCATATAAACCCGAAGAAAAATATAATACAAGCCTAAACGAAAAAATATATAAAAGTCTAAATTGAAAACAACGTTCAAACCTATGATTGCGTTGGATAAAAACCGCAATTTTATACGTGTGCATGTAAAACAAATTTCTTGGTAGAGGGGTCTAAATACAGCACAAACAACAATTTCCAAAAGACCAAAAAAAGTGAAAAAGTCTTTTAACAAAACGCATTTGACTAACAGGTCGAACAACTGATGTTCTTAAACCCTGCTGACTGCCATTGGCGATTGCCAAATAAATTGATAACCAGATCTAACGAAGTGGATCTTAATATTAATTTAATACCAAACAGAAAACAATAAACTTGTGGAAAAGATGGTATACCACAAACATGAGGTGCAAAAATTTGTACACCATATCCGGATTTCGACAATTAATGTCTCTTCAGTGATGTTAGGGATCGAAACGGTATTTGGAAGGCCATATAATTTACCTCAATTAAGGATAGACTCTTGAATTTCAAAGAGTCGAAATAGGATGAACGGATCATATAAACCCGAAGAAAAATATAATACAAGCCTAAACGAAAAAATATATAAAAGTCTAAATTGAAAACAACGTTCAAACCTATGATTGCGTTGGATAAAAACCGCAATTTTATACGTGTGCATGTAAAACAAATTTCTTGGTAGAGGGGTCTAAATACAGCACAAACAACAATTTCCAAAAGACCAAAAAAAGTGAAAAAGTCTTTTAACAAAACGCATTTGACTAACAGGTCGAACAACTGATGTTCTTAAACCCTGCTGACTGCCATTGGCGATTGCCAAATAAATTGATAACCAGATCTAACGAAGTGGATCTTAATATTAATTTAATACCAAACAGAAAACAATAAACTTGTGGAAAAGATGGTATACCACAAACATGAGGTGCAAAAATTTGTACACCATATCCGGATTTCGACAATTAATGTCTCTTCAGTGATGTTAGGGATCGAAACGGTATTTGGAAGGCCATATAATTTACCTCAATTAAGGATAGACTCTTGAATTTCAAAGAGTCGAAATAGGATGAACGGATCATATAAACCCGAAGAAAAATATAATACAAGCCTAAACGAAAAAATATATAAAAGTCTAAATTGAAAACAACGTTCAAACCTATGATTGCGTTGGATAAAAACCGCAATTTTATACGTGTGCATGTAAAACAAATTTCTTGGTAGAGGGGTCTAAATACAGCACAAACAACAATTTCCAAAAGACCAAAAAAAGTGAAAAAGTATTTTAACAAAACGCATTTGACTAACAGGTCGAACAACTGATGTTCTTAAACCCTGCTGACTGCCATTTCGTTTGGGCTTGTATTATATTTTCCTTCGAGTTTATATGATCCGTTCATCCTATTTCGACCCTTAAAATTCAAGAGTCTATCCTTAATTGAGGTAAATTATATGGCCTTCCAAATACCGTTTCGATCCCTAACATCACTGAAGAGACATTAATTGTCGAAATCCGGATATGGTGTACAAATTTTTGCACCTCATGTTTGTGGTATACCATCTTTTCCACAAGTTTATTGTTTTCTGTTTGGTATTAAATTAATATTAAGATCCACTTCGTTAGATCTGGTGATCAATTTATTTGGCAATCGCCAATGGCAGTCAGCAGGGTTTAAGAACATCAGTTGTTCGACCTGTTAGTCAAATGCGTTTTGTGATTTTTTTTCTAATATACATTGACTACATTGGACTTTATTTGAAGAAAGCAACCATTTCAATTACCAGTAACAAAATTGGGGCCTAACAATTTAAGATTGCAAAACATTGCTTTATAGATGTCCATATATATAATTTGCCACACCCTGGTGCTGCAGAAGGTAATGTTTCACACTCACAGACATGCGCATTGAACTGGCCGGACAAATAGTCCTGGTACTATTTGTCCGGCTAGCCGGAAAAATAGCAACTGCCAAATCTTTCTCGAGTCATTCTTTTGTTCCAAGACAAAACTGTGTTGTGATCAATGATGATGAAAGCCAGCCAGTAGGTTCAGATCTGCCTTAATGTTGTCAGAATATCTTAAATGTCGAATGAAAGGACAATATGTATCTATATATTAATATATATAAATATTAATTGGAATTATTTTTTTTTTTGGAAATGGGTGGGGGGGGGGGGGGGGGGGGGGGCAGGGTATTTTTTTCAGCTGTAAATAGACTAAAAAATAACTTCCTAGATTTGATACAAGCATACAATTTTATCACCAAGATGTTTTTATCATAGTTTACTTACCTCCTCCGTTTCTCATGCAAATGTACGGAAAACGCCACAGATTTCCTAATTCAACAAGATAACCCACCATTGACAAAACATATTCCACTTTTTTGCTCCATTCTCCCCTTTCCAGACGATTTTTTTCAAAGTCGTTGCTGCTGTTCGATAAACTCCTCATTTTTAAATGAAATATAAAGTTTTTCGTCGAATAGAATTCTCGTACAAAATGAAACTTTGTGACATTGAATGGTCATGTGTATGGTTGGTTGAATTATATTTTATTTGTGAACTGATTATCTAGTCAAGGTTGTGTTTAAATTTCATGCATGAGAATGTTAGTTTTTCACTTATACTTTAATCGACCATAAATTTATTTCATTTTAATACACTCTTTATGTATATGCCCAGTTTCGAAACACCTTTTATTGTAACTTTTATTTATATATATTCATATTTAACTAAATGTCCAAAATTAATAGGGTGTACCATAAATTGAAATGAATCTGTGTGAGCCTTTTTTAAACACCGTCAAAACTTCAACGCCATACATATGGTTATGTGAATAAAAATATATGAATCGATATACGAGTGTATCTCGTCTGGATAGGATCTTGATGCAATTTAATTTTCTAGTTGATTATAGATTTTAGCACAATTCTTCGTTAGTGACAATAAAGATTTGAAGTGACATATTTGGTTATGGGATAAATAATTTTTTGATAGATCATTACAGGATGTGTTATTGTATTATTTTACTAAAGGTTTTATGAAATTCAATCTTTTATCATTATATCTTTCGAAGAGATATTCACCCAATTTCTCCCCATTGATTCTTTTCGGGATTTTTTTTGTTCAAACTAGTTTGTCAAGTATGTTCTACGTTGTATCTATGTTTTATTTAAGACTCTGTGTTTAATTTTCAGTCACGGCGGATATTTTGGTCGATTGACACATATATGTCCTAAGACAGCAAAAATAATATATGGATAAATGAATAACTGAATTTTGCATTAAAAAGTAAAAAAAAAAAAAAACACAACAATTTGATTTGTCACGTTGAGAATATAAAAGAAGACGGGATTAAGTTTATAGAATTAAAGCTTCAAGTGAAATAGGTTAATTATACTAACAGGATTATGGTTTTCAGTGAATTTTCAATTGAACAATTATAATATTATAAAAAAAAACTTCAGTTATATGACTTTGTGATAAAGCGATCAACGCGTTTACACTATATTATTTGGAGATCATGACACCCAGTTTGAATTCTTGTTTCTTTATATATTTGAAAAGAACACGTTTAATAGGAATTTTCAAAATGTAATAATGACATGGTTAGTTAGAAATTTGTGAAGATAAAAATCTTTTGACATACTATTGATAATGTATGCAAATAAAGTCACGGTACGTGATAAATAATGGAAGGTAGAATTAAAATGGAAGACCTGAAAGTTTTAAAGCAAGCGAAAATAAAACACAAATAAATTTCTCCTTAAAAGATAATACAGATAATTGAGAGAAAGCAAAAGGAGGAAAATGTTTCTATTTAGTTATGAGTGTATTCATCTCTCTCTCGATCAATCGATGGATCGATCGAAAAAAAGGGATTGGTTCATTATTTCTGTATCTCTTTGCCTTATACATAATAGTTTGACTTCTTAATTTTAAATATTTTGGTTATTCTCTTGGCAGTGGTAAATCTAGGATTTTGAACGAGGGGTACTTGATAAATCATCAGTGATACTAATTCGTCGGGATTTCAAAGCAGGAATTATACATACCCTTTGTTTGTCGACATCTGTAAACAAAATTAGTTCTTACATAAAATACAAAATGTATGATATCAGTAATGCGAGTATTTTGGTGGAAGGTTGAAATTTGCACACTACACAACGTTCAATCACAGTTTGATATGTGAGTTTTTACATCCTTGTATGAATATTTGTGATAGTGGAGGAATCGAGAAAATTCATTTTAATTTTCAAAAGTGCATAAAAAATGCATTTTCAAGTAAACTCGAAGAACGTCTATTCCTTGAAGAGTATATATTCTTTTCCAAGAACAACCTGTACAATCTAAACTATGTTTCTTAAATTTGAGCGAAAAGTTGTCGTGAAAATTTGACAGATTTGTTCCTTTATAGATGTCATCAGGACGATGAACTTCTATCGATCTAATGAGTTAAGCTCTTTTCAACTGATTTTTAAAGTTTACTGTTACACCACTGTCCCAGGTTAGGAGGTGGTTTGGCGCCAGCAAACATGTTTAACACCGCCACATTATGTATGTGCCTGTCCCAATTCAAGAGCCTGTAATTCAGTGGTTGTCTCATGTTGCTGTATATCATATTTGTTTTTAGTTCATTGTTTTGTGCATAAATCAGGCCGTTAGTTTTCTCGTTTGAATTGTTTTACAGTTGTCATTTCGAGGCCTTTTATAGCTGACTCTGCAGTATGGGTTTTGTTCATTGCTGAAGGCCGTATGTTGGCCTATATAGTGGTTAACTTCTATGTCATTTGGTCTCTGGTGTAGAGTTATCTCATTGGCCATCATACCAAATCTTCTTATATTTATATAGACAGTAAAACAAAACTTACCTTTCAAGATGTCGCAATGAACCTATTATTGTTGTGTGTTATTTGTATATGCATTACATGATATGTTTAGACATTCTCGCAGACATATTTACATATAGCACAAACAACATTTTCCAAAAGACCAAATGAGTGAAAAAATATATTTTAACAAAACGCATTTGACTAGCAGGTCGAAACTGATGTTCTTAAACCCTGCTGACTGCCATTGGCAATTGCCAAATAATTGGATCACAAGATGTAACAAAATAGATCTTATTATTAATTTATTACCAAACAGAAAACAATAAACTTGCGGAAAAGATTGTATACCGCAAACATGAGGAGCAAAAATGTGTACACCATATCCTGATTCCGACAATTAATGTCTCTTCAGTGATGTTAGGAATCGAAACGGTATTTGGAAGGCCATATAATTTACCTCAATTTAGGATAGACTCTTAAATTTTGAAAGAGTCAAAATAGGATGAACGGATCATATAAACCCGAAGGCAAATATAATACAAGCCCAAACGAAAAAATATAAACAGGTCTAAATTGAAAACAACGTTCAAACCTATGATTGCGTTGGATAAAAACCGCAATTTTTATACGTGTGCATGCAAAACAATTTTCTTGGTAGAGGGGTCTAAATACAGCACAAACAACATTTTCCAAAAGACCAAATGAGTGAAAAAGTATATTTTAACAAAACGCATTTGACTAGCAGGTCGAACAACTGATGTTCTTAAACCCTGCTGACTGCCATTGGCGATTGCCAAATAAACGGATCATAAGATGTAACAAAATAGATCTTATTATTAATTTATTACCAAACAGAAAACAATAAACTTGCGGAAAAGATTGTATACCGCAAACATGAGGTGCAAAAACTTGTACACCATATCCGGATTTCGACAATTAATGTCTCTTCAGTGGTGTTAGGAATCGAAACGGTATTTGGAAGGCCATATATTTTACCTCAATTTAGGATAGACTCTTAAATTTTGAAAGAGTCAAAATAGGATGAACGGATCATATAAACCCGAAGGCAAATATAATACAAGTCCAAACGAAAAATAATAAACAAGTCTAAATTGAAAACAACGTTCAAACCTATGATTGCGTTGGATAAAAACCGCAATTTTTATACGTGTGCATGCAAAACAAATTTCTTGGTAGAGGGGTCTAAATACAGCACAAACAACATTTTCCAAAAGACCAAATGAGTGAAAAAATATATTCTAACAAAACGCATTTGACTATCAGGTCGAACAACTGATGTTCTTAAACCCTGCTGACTGCCATTGGCGATTGCCAAATAAACGGATCACAAGATGTAACAAAATAGATCTTATTATTAATTTATTACCAAACAGAAAACAATAAACTTGCGGAAAAGATTGTATACCGCAAACATGAGGTGCAAAAATTTGTACACCATATCCGGATTTTGACAATTAATGTCTCTTCAGTGATGTTAGGAATCGAAACGGTATTTGGAAGGCCATATAATTTACCTCAATTTAGGATAGACTCTTAAATTTTGAAAGAGTCAAAATAGGATGAACGGATCATATAAACCCGAAGGCAAATATAATACAAGTCCAAACGAAAAATAATAAACAAGTCTAAATTGAAAACAACGTTCAAACCTATGATTGCGTTGGATAAAAACCGCAATTTTTATACGTGTGCATGCAAAACAAATTTCTTGGTAGAGGGGTCTAAATACAGCACAAACAACATTTTCCAAAAGACCAAATGAGTGAAAAAATATATTTTAACAAAACGCATTTGACTAGCAGGTCGAAACTGATGTTCTTAAACCCTGCTGACTGCCATTGGCAATTGCCAAATAAACGGATCACAAGATGTAACAAAATAGATCTTATTATTAATTTATTACCAAACAGAAAACAATAAACTTGCGGAAAAGATGGTATACCGCAAACATGAGGTGCAAAAATTTGTACACCATATCCGGATTTCGACAATTAATGTCTCTTCAGTGATGTTAGGAATCGAAACGGTATTTGGAAGGCCATATAATTTACCTCAATTTAGGATAGACTCTACAATTTTGAAAGAGTCAAAATAGGATGAACGGATCATAAACCCGAAGGCAAATATAATACAAGCCCAAACGAAAAAATATAAACAAGTCTAAATTGAAAACCACGTTCAAACCCATGATTGCGTTGGATAAAAACCGCAATTTTTATACGTGTGCATGCAAAACAAATTTCTTGGTAGAGGGGTCTAAATACAGCACAAACAACATTTTCCAAAAGACCAAATGAGTGAAAAAGTATATTTTAACAAAACGCATTTGACTATCAGGTCGAACAACTGATGTTCTTAAACCCTGCTGACTGCCATTGGCGATTGCCAAATAAACGGGTCACAAGATGTAACAAAATAGATCTAATTATTAATTTATTACCAAACAGAAAACAATAAACTTGCGGAAAAGATTTTATACCGCAAACATGAGGTGCAAAAATTTGTACACCATAACCGGATTTCGACAATTAATGTCTCTTCAGTGATGTTAGGAATCGAAACGGTATTTGGAAGGCCATATAATTTACCTCAATTTAGGATAGACTCTTAAATTTTGAAAGAGTCAAAATAGGATGAACGGATCATATAAACCCGAAGGCAAATATAATACAAGCCCAAACGAAAAAATATAAACAAGTCTAA